TAGGAAATTAAAAAGAAAGAGAAGCTCTTGCAGCCAGGCCCATGGTGAGAGACGAGTTAGGTCATGTCTCTTTCTGTTCAATCAGATCTAAGTCCCAACCCTGATGTCACCTTGAAGCTATTAAGCGTCACCCTCAGAGATGTGTGTGAGCGGGTCACAAACCTCTTATCAGGCACGCCTGAGTCTCGCTGTTGTCAGGGGTCAGGCTCTGGAAGCTGTTTCTTTGCCAACCACAGGTCAAAGAGGAGAAGCTTGTCCAGACTTAAGACAGAGCTCGGAGAGTGGGAGAGGGATTTGCAGAGAACCATGGTCCCAGAGAGTTCCCAGGGCTGTAGAAACAGGGTGACTGTTGAGTGCTGCTTCTCAAGGGCACAGCCTGCCAGACCTGGTGGTCTCTGAAGGCCTGACTCCATCAAGCTACCGAAACAGCTTCTGGGCTGAGCTTCTCTCACGTTGTCCATGTGTCCAGCAATGGGCAGTTTTGAACTGAGAAGGCAGTGATGTCAATAATTTAGCAGTTCCCCCATCCATCCATCCATCCATCCATCCATCCATCCATCCATCCTTCCATCCATGTATATGTCTACTCATCCAGTACTATCTATTGAGAATTTATTAGGTGCCAAGCATCATGCTAGTAGCTGGGATCAAAATGGTCAGAAAAACACATCCCTTTCTCTTTCTTCCAGCCTAGAAAGCAGACCACAAATGAATAGGCAAACAGAAAATAGAAGAATGATGGATTGTGGTAGTGGCCATATGGGAATACATGCAAGGTGGGAAGATAAAGAATAAACGATAAACGGACAGTCGTGGCCACAGTCACGGTAGCATTAGAGAAGAGCATGGATTATGGATTTGAGGTTTTTTTTTTTTTTTTTTTTTTTGAGATGGAGTCTCACTCTGTCGCCCAGGCTGGAATTCAGTGGCATGATCTCAGCTCACTGCAACCTCTGTCTCCCAGGTTCAAGCGATCCTCCTGCCTCAGCTTCCCAAGTAGCTGGGATTACATGTGCCCGCTACCACGCCTGGCTAGTTTTTGTATTTTTAGTAGAGACAGGGTTTCACCATGTTGGCCAGGCTGGTCTCAAACTCCTGACCTCAAGCAATCTGCCCACCTTGGCCTCCGAAAATGCTGGGATTACAAGCATGAGACACTGTGTCCAGCTGAGATTTCTTTCTCTCTTTTTTTTTTTTTGAGACAGAGTCTTGCTCTGTCTCCCACACTGAAGTGTAGAGACATGCTCTCTGTTCACTGTAAGCTCTGCCTCCCCAGTTCAAGTGATTCTCCTGCCTCAGCTTCCCAAGTAGCTGGGATTATAGGTGTGCACCACGGTGCCCAGCTAATTTTTGTATTTTTAGTAGAGATGGGGTTTCACCATGTTGGCTAGGCTGGTCTCTAACTCCTGACCTCAAGTGATCCACCCACCTCAGCCTCGCAAAGTGTTGGGATTATAGGTGTGAGCCACTGCACCCAAACTGATTTGAGGTATTTTTGAAAGTGTTTCTGAATATTTTTGAAAGTGTTTCAAAAATATTCAAATGCCCAGGGTTGGCAGCAAATGGGGCTGAGAAGGGGCAGCCGGTGACAGAAGGAACATGGTGAGAGCCCAGCGTTTTGGTGGCCAAGAGAGGACATGACTGACTGGTGCCTCAGTGGTGGCTGTGAGGAATTAGCAGGCACAGGCTCCTCTGCCTGGCCAGGGAATATGCAGCTCTTAGCTGCAATCATTTCCACTCAGTGGAAGGAAAGAAAGCCAGCCACCATGGGCTTACCCAGTTACTGGAATTGTGGTACTTTGGGGATCTGGAGAGAAAAGAGCAGATCTCTGCCTGACACTGATTCTTATCTTTGAATAGAGGAACTATCAGAAATGCATGCATCCATTGCAAGACCTGGCGCAGGCAGGTGAGCAGATTTCTGAAGGCCTGAGCCAGGCCTTTTCATTTGGAAATTGGTTCCTTACTCGCTTCCTCTCTCTTTTTTTTCATATTTCCTGGCCTCTCTCAGCAGGTCAGCCACACACTTGTTCGTCCCTGATGCTCTTTCAAGGATGCAGAATCCCATTACTGAAAAGTTACTGTCTGGGAATACTCAGTTGTTTGGATTCCTACCAAGCCACCATCTCTGTTCACACTCACTAGTTCCCATCAGGGTGGTGCCAGTGGGTGGCCTTGCTTCCTTCATGCAGCTTTGCCCTCGGAAGAAAGTAGAGGATTTTTACCAACTTGAAGAACAGCTGGTCCCAGCTAATGCCCACCCAGCGTTGGTCAATCAAACACCAACGCTGAAGAGGGAGAGGCATGCAGGGAGTGTTCAAAACCAGAACCCTCTTGATTGACATGTGCATGTACTTTTAATTTCATGACCAGACTCTCCTCAGTGGGCTTATTAAGTGGGTTTATTGGGGAAAGGAAAATTCTCACACTGAGATTTTTTCTTTAGAAATCAGTGACTGTTGCTGCCTCATGTTAGGCATTGGCCTACTATTGAAAGTTAGTTTTGTCTGGGTGCGGGCTGGGCGCAGTGGCTCACGCCTGTAATCCCAGCACTTTGGGAGGCCGAGGAGGGTGGATCACGAGGTCAAGAGATCGAGACCATCCTGGTCAACACGGTGAAACCCCGTCTCTACTAAAAATACAAAAAAATAGCTGGGTATGGTGGTGCATGCCTGTAATCCCAGCTACTCAGGAGGCTGAGGCAGGAGAATTGCCTGAACCCAGGAGGCGGATGTTGCGGTGAGCCGAGATGGCGCCATTGCACTCCAGCCTGGGTAACAAGAGTGAAACTCCATCTCAAAAAAACAAACAAACAAACAAGTTTGGTCTGGGTGCAGTGGCTCACGCCTGTAGTACCAGGAATTTGGGAGGTGAGGTGGGAGGATCCCTTGAGGCCAGACGTTCAAGACCAGCCTGGGCAACATAGTGAGACCCCCTATCTCTACAAAGTCACTTAAACATTAGCTGGGGTGGGGTGTGGTGCCTCATGCCTGCAATCGCAGAACTTTGGGAGGCCAAGGTGGGCAGATCACAATGTCAGGAGATGGAGACCATCCTGGCTAACACGGTAAACCCCCATCTCTACTAAAAATACAAAAATTAGCTGGGCCTGGTGGCACACGTCTGTAATCCCAGCTACTTGGAAGACTGAGGCAGGAGAATCACTCGAGCCTGGGAGTTGGAAGTTGCAGTGACCCAAGATGGTGCCACTGCACTACAGCCTGGTGACAGAGTGATATTCTGCCTTAAAAAAAATGCTGGGTGTGGTGGTTCACACAGCTACCCAGGAGGCTGAGGTGGGAGGATTTCTTGAGTTTGAGGCTGCTGTGAGCCATGATCACACCACTGTACTCCAGCTTGGGTAATAAAGTCTCCTGAAAAACAAAACAAACAAACAAACAAAAAAACACTTGGGCCATATTTATTTTAAAACTTCATGCGTGTTCCTTTAGAGTGCTCCTAGAATGCATAAGTCCTTGGGATTCCAGGTCTGGGAGAGGACTCCAGACAGAAGGGAATGAGCCGAGAAGAGAAATCACAAGGCCTGTGGCTGTGGATGGAAGGCAGCTTGGTCTTGTGAGAGCACAGGATTCATGGCAGGGGTGGTGGGTTGCAGCTGTAGAGGTGATCAGGGGCAGGATCATGGGGACCTGTGAAGGCTCTTGGACTTTATTTTATAAGCGAGGGAAACTACTGATAGGTTTTAAGCTGGGGGAGGCAGAGTTGAATTTTCGTGTGTGCTATCACTCTACAGGCTGAGAAGGGTTGGAATTTGAGCAGCCTCAGATCAAGAGGGAGAGCTCTCAGAGGCTATCTAATTCAAGTGAGATGTCAACAGCCAGAAGGAAGGCAGTGGTTGTGGGAAGACAATGCCATGGGTGGGAGAAATATCTATATGGAAAGTAAAATGAGCCGGACCGGGTAGCAGATTGGTTTGGAAAAGCAGAGGTCAGTATCAGGGATGTGTCCCAGGTTTCCAGCGTGAATGAACAGGTAGGTTGTGGTGGTGTCAGCTAAAGTAGAGGCATCAGAGCACAGGGAGAGACTCTCAGCTAATTTGGGGGATGGCGATTTCCCCTTCAGATATCAGAGTTTGAGATGCTTATAGTCCCCTGAAGCATGGAGTTGAGTTTCCAGCAGGAGGGTGGCCAGGTCTCTTCTCCTGCCTCCCTCTCTCCCCTCGCCATAACCATTCCTGTTTTGTCCATTGTTGACATCTTGGTGAGACAAATTGTTTTCTAGTTAAAAAGACATAGAGGCTGGGGGTGGTGGCTCATGCCTGTAATCCTGGCACTTTGGGAGGCCGAGGCGGGTGGATCACTTGAGGTCAGGAGTTTGAGACCAGCCTGACGAACATGGAGAAACCCTGTCCCCACTAAAAATACAAAAATTAGCTGGGTGTGGTGGCACACATCTCTAATCCTAGCTGCTCCGGAAGCTGAGGCAGGAGAATCGCTTGAACTCAGGAGGTGGAGGTTGCAGTGGGCTGAGATGGCACCATTGTGCTCCAGCCTGGGCAACAAGAATGAAACTCTGTCTCAAAAACAAAACAAAAAAGACTAAGAATATGGAATATTTTTTCTTCTTATTTTTTTTACTACTATTAATATATACTTTTCTACCTTGAAAAATAAAATCTTCAAACTTTGAATTTAAACATTAGGGATGGTCAAGAATTTAAACATTAGTTTGTGGTCAAGATTCCTTTATTAACAAAAGAGTTCATCTTTTGTTTACAAAACACTGTTTGATAGGTCATAGTTTAGGGAAACTACAAGCTAGTTTTACGATGAGAAATCAAGACCATGCATTTGCATGGGAGAAAATATTTTTTTCTGCAACGATTATATTTTGTGCCCACCTTTTGAGAAACTAAAGGGGGACACCTTGATCTGGTCATTTCTTCCCTTCTTCTCTTGCTTCTAGACGTTGTCTCATCAATCAGAAGGCTGCACACAAGAGCTGTGGTTGTTAGCCCTGCAAAGAAAAAGGCTGGGAACTTTGCTTTTTATTGATTTTATTTCTTCAAGAGTTTTCTTACAAAGCGAATTGACCTTGCACAATTAGCTTGATGTAATCTTAAGAAAATATATGAAGTATGCTTTAGAAAAAAAATCATCCTCTAACCAGCCATCTCATTTGGCGATCATTTTCCACAGCTTTCATCCTCTTTGGGGTGGGGAGGTGGGGTTATTTTTACATGTGAATGATTAAATCTGTATACAAGAGATCAAAACTTTCTTTGACCTCCCTCTGCAACACCAGCTGGTGTTGGGAGACAGAACTCTGAGGCAGGCCAGGGGGTCAGTCCCCCAGGCTATTTGGCCATCAGTCATCAAGTGGCATCCCAGAAGACCTGGCTGAGGTCTGAGCAGTCCATACACAAAAACCTAGCATTTCCTCCCACAATTATAGCATGTGTAGAACACACAGGGAGAACTTAAATCCATCCCATGGAGGAAGAGGGATTTTTTTGTCCCCTTTGCAGACACTTAGCTGGAGAACCTTCCACGCGAGGGTTCCACGTCTCCAGGCCCTCACCTGGCAGCCCTCATTATTATTTCCCAACCCCCTCCAGAATATAGGGAACACTTTTCGGCCCCTACGTTGTTTCCAGCTCCTAGTAGTTCAGCTCAACAACTGGGCATCTGGAGAGGTTTTCAGTCCAGAAATTCTGGATTTAAAAGGAGTAGCTGCTCCTTTCCTCTGGACACTGCTTAACAGCCCCTGCTGAATCCCTAAATTGATTTTTATTTTGAAGGAGCAGGTGCTATCATGGGTTCATTCTTTGTCCACCCAGTCAAGACTGTGTGGATGGGCCTGTATGGGGACACAGTAACCTACATCAGGCTATTTTGCTGTCTTCTCTAGTCAGTGCTCAGAAGTGTCCCCACTTAGCCAACAAGTTTGGAGGCAGGGATAGGTCTCTGGCGTGCAGCAGCTGAGTTGCTGTCCTTGACTCTCCTCGTTCTGATTTTTCTTGGGGTTCAGGGACAACTAAGGGGCCCCAGAGCCTTAGATGTACAGCCCACAGAGGAAAGGCGGGTCAGGGCGTGTGTGTCTCCGTCATTTCCTTCCTTCTAAAGCATTTACTTTCCGAGTCACCAGCTGGTTCCAAAGCTCCTCTCCCACCAGGCCAGGTGGTGTCCAGACCAGGAGGAAGCCTGGCTGACACAGGAGAACCGTGGTAGGAGGAGGTGTGGGTGGCAGTCAAGAGACCCTAAGAAGCAGTGTCCTTGAAGCTGTTCTCAGATTCATCCGGCCCGGTAGGATTGCTGTCTGATTCCATGAGAGTGTGGGAAGTAAAGGCCCTAGGGAAGAGACTGCTAAGAGGCTGGACAGAACTTCCTGGAAGACTCCCAGGAATGCTGGGCAGTTTCATATCCAAGAGTCAGTGAAAGATGTGGAGAGGCTGCCTGGCGGGGAAGGAAGAAGGTAAAGGTGAAGGTGGGAATGGGGTGGGGGTAGCTGGAGAGGGGCTCAGTCCTCAGTCATTTTTTCTCCATGCAGAATCTCACTCTGAACTTGGAGAGGCTGCAGAGTCCCCATCCTCAGGGTCCTGCGTACTGGGGGAGATGGGCTGACCTCCCTTCACACGCTTCCACTTCATCCTTCGGTTCTGGAACCACACTTTGACCTGGGGGAGGAAGCAAAGGAGCCTGGTCACTGCAGAGCTGGTGTGACCTCCTCCCCATATCAATGCTCAGGCTAGCCAGGGTGTAACTCCAGGAACCCCAGCTTGAAACCATCACTTACTACTCCCTACTCCCTCAAAGGCCCCAGGAACTGAGACCAAAGAGAGGACACACCAGTCTGCCCAGAGGGTCTGTCTTGTGTCTTGGTATAAAGCCCCACACAGGGGAACATGTTCTAAAAGCACTCTGCATTGGCCCCACCCGCTTCACATGGCCGGCTCCTCAGGTGCCAAGCCCCATTGCCTCCCCCTCCATTCCTCAAGGGTCTGGGAGCAGAGGTCATCAACCTTAGCTTCAGGCACGTGTATAGAGCACTTTTTGGTTTAGACAGCTTTGGTCAACACATTTTCTCATCTGAGCTTCAGTGTCACTTGCAGGATTATGATCTCATTTTGCAGATGGAGACCCAGAGGTCCCAGGACTAGGAGAAGTGATAGAGGCAGGATTTGAAGCTAAGTCTTCTGACTCAAAGTCCAATCTTCTGGCACAGCCCTCTATCAACGGAAATCTGCTCTCAAACATTACTGTTATTACTATGCTTCTGTATCAGAGAATGGGTGTGGGGGGGTGGGATGGCTGAGGGAAAGTCCAAAACAAAGAGCCAGGGAAGTTTCTCAGTGTGCCCAGGAACCAGTGGCATATCCAGATCACCTGGGGAACGTACTGGAAATACAGACTCTCAGGCCCACTCATTATGGCAAAATCGCTCTCCAGACCTCTGGAATCCACATTTTGAACAAGTGCCTTAGGGATTCCAACATATACTCAAGTTTGGGAATAGGCAGACCGGAGGTCCCAACCTAGGTGCATATGAGAATCACCTAGGGGGCCTTTGAAAAATTTTGAGGCCTGTATCCCATCCCAGACCAATTAAAATCATCCCCAGGTTGATTTTCATCTTTTATCATCTCCCACCCAGACATCGGCGCTACTAAATTCTCCCCAGGTGATTCTCAGGTATGGCCACAGTTGAGAACCACTGGACTGGATGGAGGAGGAAGAAAAAGGAGAAGGTCCAGGGAGGGGTGGCAGGAAAGGAGGGAAGGGAGGGAGATGAGAGAGCAGAGAAGAAGAGGGGCTGCCAGGGGCACACCTGGCGCTCAGAGAGGTCCAGGTTTACAGCGATCTCATATCTGCGGAGCCGAGTCAGGTAGTTATGGTGGGCAAACTCCGCCTCGAGCTCCCGCAGCTGCTCCTTGGTGAAGGCTGTCCTCTCCTTTCGGGCCTTGCTGCTGCCGTCCGGCTTCCCTCGGCTCTCCTGGTTGTCTAGGGAGAGAGGACCCCAAACAGGAAGACATGGGCTGAAGGAGACTCCATTCCCTTTCTTTTTTCCTCGAGCAACTAGGCAGCCTTTCCCAGTCTCCCTTATTTTTACAGGATGCTGAGAAAGCTACGCTGCCCTCTTTATTCCTTCTGGTGTCTTACCCATCTTAGAACTGGGAACTTTTTTTTTTGGCTTCCAATTTCAGGTACCTGCTCCCCCCCACACACCGCCCCCACCTTCAAACTTTCTTTTATTCTCAAAGCACAAGAAGCTACTCTTGGCTGTTTAATGATGTCTACTCCCCAGCCCACCCCCCAGCATGTCATAACTGGTGGCCGTAAGTTTGTGGGGTGAGATGAGATGCTCTAAAACAAAGCCTCAAAATGTGGTCCCAAGATCGGCAGCATCAGCCTTACCTGAGAACTTTTGCAGATGGAGACCCAGAGGTCCCAGGACTAGGAGAAGTGATAGAGGCAGGATTTGAGAACTTGATAGGACTGCAAATCCTAGTCTCACTCCAGACCTACTAAGTCAGAAGCTCTGGGGATGGCGCTCAGCGATCAATTTTAACAAACCCCTGTAATCCCAGCACTTTGGGAGGCCGAGGCGGGTGGATCATGAGGTCGAGAGATCGAGACCATCCTGGTCAACATGGTGAAACCCCGTCTCTACTAAAAATACAAAAAATTAGCTGGGCATGGTGGCGCATGCCTGTAATCCCAGCTACTCAGGAGGCTGAGGCAGGAGAATTGCCTGAAACCAGGAGGCGGAGGTTGCGGTGAGCCCGCGCCATTGCACTCCAGCCTGGGTAACAAGAGCGAAACTCCGTCTCAAAAAAAAAAAAAAACCAAAAACAAACCCCTCAGATGCGTCTGGTGCATGATCAAGTCCACTGCTGTACGACCTCACCACTCAAACGAGGGCCTGGACACCAGCAGCATCAGCAGCACCAGGGAGCTGTTCAAACCCGAAGGATCTCAGGCCTGCCCCAGACCTGCCTACCCAATCAGAATCTGCCCCAGAGAGCCAAGTATGGAAAGTCATCTGGACCCCTCGGAAGGAGGCTCCTGTTAGAATCAGTGTGGCTCAGTCATAACTGCCAGCAGGGTCTGGGACACACCCTGCGCCAGGTGCTGTACCTGACAAATATTAGCCTCTTAATCCTCAATAGCCCAACCAAGTGGTTCTAGTATTAGCCTCACTTTATGGACCAGAAAATGAACATGGAGAAGTTAAACAGATTGTCCAAGTTTATTAAGCCAGGGGATGTGGGAGACAAGAATCAAATTCAGGCGGTTTGACTCACACATACTGTTCAAATGAAAAATATGTAGGGGCCGGGGGCGGTGGCTCACGCCTGTAATCTCAGCACTTTGGGTGGTCAAGAAGGGAGGATCACGAGGTCAGGAGTTCAAGACCATCCTGGCCAACATGGTGAAACCACGTCTCTAATAAAAATACAAAAAATTAGCCTGGCGTAGTGGCACACGCCTGTAATCCCTGCTACTTAGGAGGCTGAGGCAGGAGAATCGTTTGAACCCAGGAGGCGGAGGTTGCAGTGAGCCGAGATCAGGTCATTGCACTCCAGCCTGGGCGATACAGCAAGGCTAAAAAAAAAAGGAAGGGCTTACAAGTGGTAAAGTCCTGAATAAATAAAAGGGCTGCATGGTTATCTCTGGAGCAGACGGTGGGAGGCAGCTCTACCTTCACTTTAATGACTGGAGATGGTCGGTGGAGAGGAGGCGGGCAGAGACCACACACCTACGCCATTAACTCTCAATGCATGCCACGTGGCCAGGGAATGGCTGCAGGAGCCATGAATAAGGGGCTCTAACATTTAAGTCTTTCGCTTCATTGTCCTCATTTTATAGACACAGAGACCGTGGTTCATAGTGAGGTGCTTTACTGAAACCTGCACCCCAACTTCCTGCTCCCTGAAAGACCCATCTCTGCCTTGCTGGATAGTGTTGGAAGGGGAGTCCTGTTTTCAAAGGCCGAGTCTAAGCTACCTGGAAGCCAGGGCTGGGGAATTTAGACCAGCTAGTCTAAGGCAGAGAAGCCGCCCATGCAGGCGCCTAAGCAGCCGCATTGGGAGTGGGTGGCGAGGCAGGAACCCCACCTTAACCGGGCGATCCGCTTTGGAGCGGAGCCTAGGTGGTTCTCTTCCCAACACCCCGCTCTACTGCTTTTTATGCAGTCCCCCTTCGTATTTCCAGCTTCCCCGTCCTCCGCCCCCGCTCCCCACTGCTTGGGCTGGGCGGCTTTCGAGCCGGAGGCGTGCGGTAAAGTGATTTGGGCGCCTGGCCGGGCCCACCTCGCGCTGCGCGTCCCTGGTCCCTGCCGCGGGATGGTAGGGGAGTGGGTGCCACCTTTCCAGGAACCAGAGAAGCGGGGGAGGGGCCTGATAGTCCCGGTGCCCTGGCCCGGGGGTCTGCGTCCGATCGGGTTGGCTGCCTTTGGGGCGCGCCCAGGGAACAGGGCAGGGGGCCGAGTTCCAGGCGCGGGCTGCCTGCCCGGCGGCCTCTGGCTCCAGGCCGGAGAAGGCAGGCCCAGACCCTCCGGAAGCGGGAGCGTGGGCTGGAGGGAAGGACGCGCAGCCCCGGGCTGGGGTCCCCGAGGAGCCCTCCGGCCTTGGCCGCCGCCAAGCGTCGCGCCCCCTCCTGGCAGCAGGCCCGGGAGGGTCGGTCACGAGCGGATGACGGGCTTCCCGGAGCACAGCCCGGCCCGCGGGCCTGGAGAGAGGCAGGAAACCCTGGCTTAGACGCCGGGCGCGGTCGGAGACTGGTTTCCCAGTTTCCTCCCGCCCCGGGGCTCCGCGTTTTCCAGCCCTTCCTTTTCACGGTTGCCGGGAGTGGATAGCCCAGAGGACTGGCGCAAAGGCTTGAATCCTGAATCTCCTTGCTGGGGACTTTGAGGAAGTCACTTAACCTCTCTGGGCAGCGGTCTCCTCATCAAGAAACTGAAAACAATTTCACCTAGGGTTATTGGAAGACTGAATGAGTTAATATGTGTGTGCAAAACCCTATTAAAATCTAAAAGTGGCTCACGCCTGTAAACCCAGCACTTTGGGAGGCCAAGGCGGGCAGATCTCCTGAGGTCAGCAGTTCAAGACCAGCCTGGACAACATGGTGAAACCCCGTCTCTACTAAAAATACAAAAAGTGTGGTGAAGGGGGCCTGTAATCCCAGCTACTCTGGAGGCGGAGGCAGGAGAATCACTTGAACCCGGGAGGCGGAGGTTGTAATGAGCCAAGACTGTGCCACTGCACTCCAGCCTGGGTGACAGTCTCAAAAAAAAAAAAAAAAAGAAAGAAATCTAAAAGTGCTGGACAAATATATTCTCCAATTTATCAGTTCCATAAAATGCCACCTGAAGGGCTGGGATAGAAACAGCTGCGCTTCTGGAAGGCTTCTGTGTATGCCTAGAGGAGACCGTGGCTTGAACCTCACCAGCAGCAGCCTATAAGTGGATACTGCTCTTGCCCCCTTTAGCACTCTTACATGGGTTTGTGTGATAATTTGATCAATAGTTCTCTCCTCCGGGGAAACACTTTCTCTGACTCTAGCCTCTAGTCATAGTTGCTTCTGTAACCTGGCACAACTGCCCCCCTCCTCCAACCTACCCCAACCAGTTTTGCACATAATTCTTCTAGAGAGAAGAGGAAAAAGTACTTGCTAA